TGATTCCATATGGGAAGAAACAGAATATTATTTTATTGTGATAACAATTATAATCTCTATTAGTAGTTCAAAGAATTGCAATCCATGGGTAACAAAAATTTAATGAAACTCCAAACATGCCGAAGTATGCCAAAGTAGTGGTGTACGTATATACCTTTTATAGAAAGCCTGTGCTCCGCTTTCATCAAAATCTCAAAAATATCTTGAAACTACATCACAAGGTAGCTTCATGAACCAGAGGTGAAAAACAGCCGAAGTCCACCCATCCTGTGGTGCATTATTACTAAGAGACTAAAACGTGCTTAAAATTCAACAGAACAAAAAGGGAAGTACAAGCTCATACCTTCATCTCTTCCCAGTGTGCTTATGTGTGTGCACTTATTTCTGGTGCTTGGCTTAAGAAAAAAAGTAGGGTTTCTGTCCTTGAGGGGGGTTTCTGAGGTGAAAAGGACAAAACGTATTAAAATGAGTCACTGCAGCCCACAGTCTTTGTGCAGTTCGATGAGCTTTTATTGAGGATCTGCTATGTGCCCAGCACCATAATAGATGCAATGGTTTGAAACAATGAATTCTAGAGGCCATCAATAAAAGACTTCCAATATCTACCTCTGGCTACAGCCATTGCCCCTGTCCAAAATTTTTAGGCAGCTCCTCCTTCCTTCTATTCCCAACCTCCACAGCCCTTCTTTCCCAACAGAGGATTACCTCTGCCCTCTTCCCAAGAACCAATCCCATCTTTAGACACAGCCCTGCCACATATGATTGTGCAGATTGTGCACTGCACAGTTCTAGGTGTTATCATTCACCTTGTAGTCTAAATTAAATGGCAAGTATCCAAAGAGTTCTAGCCCAATACTCTGCAACTCACTTGTGAGTCCACTTATTGCCACTCTTGTCCTGACACAGCACCCTAGTTCTGACAATTGGACTTATGCCAAGCTACCAAGACTGGTTTGCACTACCTTTCTCATTTCTAATAACTAATCTTCCCCTTGATAAACTACCTAGTACTCCTGACCCTCTGGGACTGGAAAATGGGGAAATGGTGACTCCTGCTTTCTTGCAGCCCAAGGACTGAAATCTCATTTTCAACCCATGCCCAGAACTGAGAACTGTCTGCCTGTCATCAAGCCCAGCGCTTTTCTGCCCGCTAAGATACGTGATTATTGCCAGACCCTGCATCTTGGTCACCACGATCCATGTGCCAAGACTCCCAGTTACTCCAAGTTGGTCTTCCCTGGTAGAGGCAGACTTACCAGGTTGTCTTTGGCCACACCTTCTAAATCCTGGGTTCTGGACTAAGCTGCTCTTAAATAACGCAAGTGAGCAAGTCTTGCTTCAGCATCTGGTACCTCCCAGTTGGCTCCATAATTTACTGGGTTTATGATCTTGGACAAATAATTGACCTCCAGAGACTTCATTTTCTTGCATGTAAAGTGGAGATGACTTCAGAGACTGCTGAGAATTAAGTGATATGCTGCCTACAAGTTGCTTGGCCCTATGCCTGGGACATCTAAGTGTCCATTTTTATTAACAGAAAAAAACTATTATAGTGCGAGAGATCACAGGGTACAAATTATACATAAATGTGGCGTATAAGTTAAATGACTAACACCTAAGTAGTTAGAAGCCAGCCCGAGTCTTTCTCTTCTGTCCAAAGAGTTGTTTTCTCCACCTAGCTCTGCCCTGCTGCTCCTAGATAGCAAAAGTGAACAGCTCTTTCTGGCAGATTTACTGAGTATAACCTTAGGAAGCAGCTCAGAATACCACTTCAGAACGGTGGGTAAAACTGCTGGCACCTTGGCACCAAGCTGTACAAGTAGTCATATTCTTTCAGCTTTTGCATGAAACATGGTTTTTACTTGGAACAAATGGCTGACACATAAACTATCAAATACACTAAGATTAGGTATTTGGCAGACTTTATCTCAAAAATGAATGATATGGGCCTGTAAGGTCAAGGAAAAATCATCATTTTGAGCTTTCAAAGCAAAACTTAGATTTTCAGAAAACTTCTATCCGCCTCCATGAGTTTAACAGCTTTCCATACCTTAAAGAATTTGCTAATGATATTAGTGATGATGCTATTAATGAATGTGACTTTTTTTATATTACATAACAAACTGTGTTAACATTTTGAAAGTCTGCGTAACTCAATGAGACCACTATTTTCCACATGACCAACGCATGCTGTTACAAAATCATCACAGATAAAATCATTTATTTAAAGTGCAAAACTGACCACTGGAGTTTAGTGTAAGAGTATGAAAGTTTATTGATATGGTCTCGGGTTCTAAATTGCACTGAAACATTAAGAAATCACCATTTATCAAGTTTTGGTATAGGATCTAAAAATACCCACAATTACCTAAAAAGGTTATTAAAATATTCTCTTTTTTTCCAAATACATTTTTATGGTAGGCCAGATTTTCTCCACATTCTCTGATCAAAACAACACATGGCCACAGATGGATGCAGAAGCTTCTATGAGAATCCTGCTGTCTTCTATGAAGCCAGCCATTAAAGAGATTTGCAAAAACAGGAAAACAATACCACTACTCTTGGTATGTTTTAGAAATATGGTTATTACTCATAAAATGTTTTTTTAAGTTATGATGAGTTTATCACTACTATTTTTAAATGAATTAATAAATATCTTAAATGATTTTTAATCTACACTCTTACTTTTCCATTCTTCGCGAGTTAGGTGCTAGAAAGAGATTTGTCCTTTCTCTCATTTATTTATTCGGGGTGATGCTAGTGTTCTATTATCCTCGAAATGTGGGGAGCAGCAGACAAAGGAGGACTGAGGTGATGAGAATCTTCTGGCAAAGGTGCACATGCTCACAGAGATGATGTAATGTCTTTTGAACATTCTTTTGTTGGGTTTTATGTTTCCCAAATCACTACCTTCAGGCCAAAACTCTCTTTCCTCCGAATCCTTAACCAGCACAATCACTCACTGGACAATTTTTTATTTAGTATCACCAACGTGTCAAGCAGTGTATAGCCAACGGTCTTCACGACACGCCCCTTCGATGCCCCCCAGGCACGGTAAATTCAGAACCACCCATGCCAACCTTGTCTCTCCTCTCAGTGGCTCCTCCTCCCGTGCTCCCAACACAGGACGGGCCCTACCAGCCACCCTGAGGCTCAGGCCCCGACATCCAGACACTGTCCTGCTTCTCCTCTCTGCCTTCATCCAACCAACTCTCAAGTCCCAGGAAGTCCGACTGTTTAATTTCTCTTAAATGTTCCACTTTTCTCCAGCCACCCTAGTTCAGGTTTCCTTTACCTTGTACCTAAATCATTACAACAGCCCTCCGATGGGTCTCTGTCGTCCTGTCTTAGGCTTCTCTCATCTGTCCTCCTCGCTGCACCAGGCTGGCGACCCACAGGCAGCGCATCGTTCAAAGGGCTGGGGTGGAAGACCGTCCCCTCCATGTTACAGGGGAGGATCGCACGGCTCTGAAAGCTAAATAGCTTGCCCAAGTGATATTTCTTAAAGGCAAAGCCTATCGGGCCACTCCCCTGGTTTAACCGCTAAGGTGCCAATCCTCAGGATAAAACCCGAGCTCTTCCACGAGGCATACTCTGCACGGCCCCACGGGCCTAGCGGTCCCGCTGCCCGTGCACGCTCCACTCCTTTTATCTCTAGCCTTTTTTTTTTTTTAAGGTGCTATTCCCTTGGCCTCGACCGCTCTTCTCCCAACTAACTCAGCCTAGATGTATCTTTGCTCAGGAAACCTGCCCAGACCCCCTCGGACTGGGTGCGGTACCCTGCCCATGCCGGCAACCAGGACTCACTCTAAAGGTAGCAGCATTTTTCCCAGCGTTTTGTTTTGTTTTGTTTTTGTTTTGTATTTCCCCAACCCCTTATAAGAGGACCTGTAATACATTTAGAGTCATTTGTCACATTCTGCATTTCACACTGCAGTCACCTGACCTCCAAAATTTTTTTCTCCCTTTTGACAGCAGGGCTGACTGGGCGCTGTGAAGTTCTGCGTCACACACCCACCAGCACAGTGTCACACATGGCAGTCTCGCTGCCCGGCAAACACTCCTGGTGCTTCCTCTGCCCAACTCCCTCCTCCGCCCCGCCCCACCGTCTTAATGGCGGGTGTTCTTGACAATCTCTCTCCTGAGTTCAGGATCTGTCCTGTTTAACATGGTGTCCCCAGCTGGAGACAAAATGCCCAGCACTCTGAGGATACTCTACAAACATCTGCTGAATGCAAGAACCAGAAACTCTTGTTGCAGGCCGGGCGCGGTGGCTCACGCCTGTAATCCTAGCTCTCTGGGAGGCCGAGGCGGGCGGATTGTTTGAGCTCAGGAGTTCGAAACCAGCCTGAGCAAGAGCGAGACCCCGTCTCTACTAAAAATAGAAAGAAATTAATCGGACAACTAAAAATATATAGAAAAAAAATTAGCTGGGCATGGTGGCGCATGCCTGTAGTCCCAGCTACTCAGGAGGCTGAGGCAGGATAGCTTGAGCCCAGGTGTTTGAGGTTGCTGTGAGCTAGGATGACGCCACGGCACTCTAGCCGGGGCAACACAGTGAGACTCTGTCTCAAAAAAAAAAAAAAAAAAGAAACTCTTGTTGCACCTACAGGTTGAACCTCGTCCCCGAATGGCAACGGTGCAGTGAGTGCTAGATCTACCGCCCCGCCCACAGCAGCCCTGTCCACAGCTCCAGTTTGCTGCGAAGCCTCCCCTCGGCCGTCGCTTCCCGACAGCTCGTGCTCCTCCAAATGACTAAGTCGCTGGCACGCCTGCTGGGCTCAGGGGGAAGGACCCACAGCTGGAGCCGCTGACCGAGAAATGGGGAAGGGGGCCAGCCCCCTATGGAAGGGAGGGTGCTTAGTGTAGAGCCATAGTCGGGGCAGAGAAGAAAGGGAGGTGGGAACCCGGAGAAGCTTTGGTTTGGAAGCCTCCCATTCAAACCGACACCCGACGTGTCCCGGTGAGTCCCCACACTCTCTGTGGCTGGCCACGCAGGCGGGGTTAAGGACTCAGCCTGAAACTCTAGGGCCTGCTTGGAAATCTGCCTCTCTGGCTCCTACGACGTTAGCAGGACCTGGGAGAAGAACTCCAAAGCCCTGGGCGGAGGGGAGAAGCTTCTGATAAGTGAACGGTCGAGCCCAGACAATGGCTTTCTCTGCGCAGCTGGGCTGTGCACCTGGTGCCCGCCCAGGGCCCTCTGCGCTTTTGTCCTTCCGCACACAGCGATGTCCACACACAGACGAGACTTATAAATACCCTCCAAAGGAGAAGTGAAATCACTGACCAGTTCTCCTTTTCTCTGCTTAGCTGGAGCCCAGCGACTGAGAGCAGCTGGCACAAACTCACATTCCCCAGTACAGCGGCTCGACCTGCTCTTACTATTTTATGGTTGGGAAGTCTTTGGCAAACATCCTGTTTAGAATAGAATGGGACTCAGACTGACCATCGGGGCTAAATTTACTGCCTGGAAACTTCAAGCAAAAGGAAAGAGAAAGCAGAGGCAAGGGCAAGGCCTGTTAGCGCACCATTCACAGAAAGGGAACGCCAAGGTCTTCTCCAAGTGAGCGTTTTACCTGTACGTAGAAGGTCCTGGAACTTGTTATTATTTCAAACAGGTTGTCCCTCATTAAGAGATCGCTAGACAGAGAAAGAGAAAGAAAGTTACCGGGCATGCTGGCATACGCACTGAAGATCTCATTTGTCCTAAGTCCAAGCACCAGTGCCCTTCACCATAAAAAAAACGGGCGGCGGGGGAGCTTCAGCCCATCCGTCCTCCACTCCAGAGGGTTCCTCTAGCCTCATTTCCTAGATGGTCTCGGGAAGTTTTGCCCCAGGTGGACCTTCCCCACCACCACCCGCAGTTCTAACGAGATAAAGCCCCTTTTCCTCCAAAACCTCCCGCCTAATCTCCTCCGCTGCCCACCCCCACCCTCACCCCCATGCCCACCTTCTACAGTTTTCTTTCCCTCCTCCCTTCTTTCTTTCCACTCGATGCTGAGTGGAAAGAAAGGCTGAGGCACGCAAAATGCTTTTGTATGAAGCAGTGTTTTGAATGTTTTTCTACACATTATTTCATCCGATCTTCACAACCACCCAGCGAGGCACTGGAGACTTCCCCCATTTTATGCACCAGGAAACCCAGGCTCAGAGAGTCTAAATGATTTGTCCTTGGTGCGCGAGATTCGAACCCAGGTCTGACTCCAGAGTCTACGCTTTTAATTACTCCCCTCCTAAGGGAGCCAGCTCTCCCCTTCCAAAACCTTCCTCCGCCCGAGCAGCAACCCCGTAGCTTCACCCGGTTCCTGCCCTTTGCTTCACAGTGCTAAGCCTGGGAGAGGAGGCGCTACAGAGGGGAGAAAGGAAAGTGGGAGCAGTGAGGTGCTTCCAACGGGGTGTGGGTGGTAGAAGAGAAATCCTGACTTCCGCGAGGAAGAGGGCAAGAAGTAACTGGTACTCGGTGGCAAACCTCAAACCGGCCAAAATTATTTTACAGTGTTAAACACCTGCTGCGTGTATCTAGTCACTGTCGGGAATATAAAAGGATTGAGAGATTCAATTCCCACCCAATAAAAGAACGTAAGAAAGCGAGATTACACCACTGGATGTTAGAGCATGTGTTATACGGCAAGCATTAGAATGATTCCAAGAAAGGACCGATCACAGGACTGATCGTTGGCTTCATGAATGAAAACTTGGAAGGAAATGGCAGGGGGTGGCCAGAGCCACGGGCACCCGGGCTAGGGAGGTGCATGAGACTAATGACCCCAGTGGAAGGGAACGAGACAACTGCAGCCAGACAGACCGGGGCCGAATCCCGACTCTACTTAGGGAAAAGGCATTTGGGGAAAGTTTTAAAGACTTTGTGAGCCTTGGTAACCCCAAGTGTAGAATGGAGACGAGGGAATCTCCTTTTATCAGGCTGGGCGGCCATCAGCTGTAAGGCGTCTGGTGTAATCCACGCACGCAACAGTCACTTGAAACACATTTCACCAACTGTCACTACTTTCTGAGTTTCTGAATAAAAAAGGCTCTTCTTTCTGGCTAAAATGTTTTAACCTTTCAAACTACTCATGCATATCCAGCAAAACCACATAATCAGCTACCGAGGAGGTGAAAACAAAGCAGGTAGGAAATCCCCGCTGCTTTCACATCTCCTTCTCAGGCTGCCTGGCGCCTTTCGGTTCAATTCAACTCGATTGAACAAATGCTCACTGATCACCCAGGTGTCCCAGACCCTCCCACCGGGTTCTGGACAGGCCAAGCAGTCTCACGGGCCTAGAAGCTGCAGACCCCTCAGGACCTCCTTCCCTGCTGGTCTCAACTCCCTTACTTCTTTTACTCAGACTCTGGCAGAATTATCGAGATTTAAGGAACGTCTGAGGCACTCTTAGGCGTGAACCCTACCTTGGTTTCCTAAGCTGCCCCCACGTGCCCAGGTGGTCTGCACGGGCCCTCCAGGGTCAGGAACAATCAAAGACCCCCAAGGGTCTAGTCATGCCCCATCTTTCCTCTGCCCATTGCTACCTCTGGAGTGACACTTCGGGAACTTCCATATCTACAGCCACTTTCATGAGTTATAAATTGTCACTGGGAACCTCTCCAATCTTCTATGCTCGGCAACTGCCATTTGCAAGACTCGGTAGAGTACTTCTGCCCGTTTCCTTGGGTCACTCAGCACATTGTTTTCATGCAAGACTGTCCCATGTCTTCATGAGTGTCCCAGGCCTGCTGCTAATAGCTTCCCTGATTTTGTACGTCCACGGGATGGAGGGACCCAAACACACAGTCCCTGAAGACTGCAGATTGGTGCCAAAAAGGGGATTTCTAGATGCCCAAATACCCTTGGGGTCTCTAACCGTTAGTTCTAGGGGCATCTGTTTTTGGTGTTGGATCTGGGAGATCCCTTGCCAAGTCCCACACCCATCCTGTGCACCGTGGCACTCGGAAGGTAATCCTTTCCTAGTGGAAAGAGGAACACATTGCAAATCCTTGTTCTTCCTGCCCAGTGGGAGTAACAGAGGTGGTGTGAATCAGTCTCGTGTTAACGGGACACCAGGGTCAAAAGGAAGAGAAAGGCATGAGCAGTTCCAGGAAGAGGCAGGGGCACGGCAGCGACCTGACCGCAAGTACTGAAGTCAGTGACCCAAAGGCACAGCCCGTCCTCCGGGCCCCAGGTCTCCTGGAGCCTGGCCACGTAATTCTCACACCTGAGAAGCATCTGAGCTCCACTCCCTTCTTTGTTTCTATAATCTTTGTTTTTCTCCACCAGAGATTATTACGTAGGCTCCTCTCCTCAGGAGGTAGCGTAAGGCAATGTGACGAGGGTAAGTCTGCCCAGTGTGACCTCGTCCCTGGGTCAGCCTGGATGCAGCGAGTCGGCCACAAGATGTTAGGCTACTGTCCCTTGCTCTCGGAAGAAGATTCTTGTATGGAGCTCTAGAGGGTAGTAAGTGGAAATTTAAGAGGACAAATGGAGGCTCTGATCATAAGAGAAACAGCAGAGACAATTACCCAGACTTGACCAGACATTCGTGGGTCTTGAGAACGTCCTTGAGAAATATAGTGCGCAGCGGTTCCCGGTCCTGGTGGAAAAAGTGGAAAAACAGGTAAGTGAGCTGTTCGCATAATACTACGACCCAGACCAGACGAACAACCTGCCTCAGAGACGGCTGGCTAACACCAGGTGGGCAAACAACCTGGTCTCAAAATCATCATCAAGAGAAAAAGAAAATTTAAGAAGAAAATGCTCCATGCCTTCGACCACACGGCAGCTCACTGCAGAGGAGACGTTTTACCATCCCTGTGAAGAGGCGCACGCGGGACGAACGGGGACAGGACAGAGGTGGCTTTGAAGCCCGTGTGTGCCCATGTCTCTGCCAGGCACCCTCCTGTGGGTGTGCACTCGTGCGCCTCTCAGCTTGCACAGCCTCTCCGATGGGCCCTGGAGCTACGACAAACCTGCTCGCACTTGAAGTAGCAGATGGTGAAGTCATCGAGTGCAAAGAAGCGACGTTTCCAGCTCTTCCGCTGCAGTGAAAAATAAAGAGCGGGCCATCAGGGAGAGGTCCCCAGCCCGTGCAGGGCGCTCTGATGCGAAGCTCACAGAGACCCAGCCCCAGGGAGGTCAGGCGCCCAGGGGGCGGCAGGGCAAAGGCGTCTTCATACCAGGGCAGGGCCTCAGATGGAAGCGGGGCGAGTGGCTGATCCCAAAACCTCAGGGGTGCAAGCGGAGGCTCCCCCTGTCAAGCTCCTCTCCCCTCTGCTCTGTCCACGCCTACGGGCTCCCAGGAGCCCCCAGAACCCCGCCCCTGCCCCTGTGCCGACACTCACCACGTTCCCCTGCTTCACACAGTAGCCGCTCTTGATGAGGGGGGGCCCGGTGGAAGCGCGGCTGCCCGACGTGGGGATGTAACTGTGGGACCTCCGCAGGATGGCGTGGGAGCCTGGCTCGCTCCCCTCCTGCCCGTCCCCACCGTTCTGCAAGGAAACAGTGTCAGGTTAGCGCCTCCCTCCACCCCTCCATGCAGCCGCAGCCCTGCCACCTCCTGCCACCGCCATCTCTTGCCCCTTTGCCACGGTGTCAGAGAAGAAATAAACAGGAAAATCGACCCTCTGTGCTCGCGCCAGGCACGCTACAGGGTGCTTTCCCAGACAAGGCTCAGGGAGGCCAGGCAGACCCAGGAGAACGGGAAGGGCAGAGAATGCAAAGCAGGAGAGGGGGCATCCACCCAGATGGGAGGAGGGACACGGGGCTTATTTCCAGCCTCCTTTGCCTTGCCCGGGCCTGTGTCCCACGGGTTTGACAAGTGCTCCTGCATCTGGTCACTGTCTGTACTGCCGTGACTCCGCCCCACCCCTGCCCTGTATTCTCCTGATCAGCCCACCTGCGCTAGCCCCCCACTCCCACCCGGCCTCCTCCCTGCCCAGCCCCCGTCCCCGGCCACCTCCACACCCTCCCGCTCCCCGGCAGCCCCAGCCAGGCCCCGCACCTGGTTGATGGGCGTGTGGACCACCACCCCTCCGATGATCTCTGTCCTGTAGGCCACCTGTGGCTTCTTCTCCAGGGCCGGAGGAGCCGCCAGGCTTTTGAGAACTTCAGTAGCCAGGGGCAGACTCCCAGCTTTGGGTACCTGGAAAGAATGGCAGCGTGCTCAACAGGGAACAGAAAGCTTAGGAAAAGCAGAGAGCCAAAGCCATGAGAAAAGCTAACGTACCACACTATAGTCAGACTCCCTTCTCCGCAGCCCTTCCATCCACCCACACCCAAACACGAGAACTTGGTTGGCAACCCACTCCCCACAAGCAGATACACACGGACTCCACGAATTTAATGAGCAACTACTATGAGCCAGCCCTTCCCTGGTTAGAAACCAGATAAAACATCAAACGAAATAGATAAAGGTCTTGCCCTCACTGTGCTTACACGCAAGTTGGGGAGAGTGACCAAAAAAATATGTACATGTTGCAAAACAAACAATCAGGTTAATTACAAAGGGTGGTGAGTGCCACAAAGAAACTAAACAGGGCCGGGCGCGGTGGCTCACGCCTGTAATCCTAGCACTCTGGGAGGCCGAGGCAGGTGGATTGTTTGAGCTCAGGAGTTCAAGACCAGCCTGAGCAAGAGCAAGACCCCGTCTCTACTAAAAAAAATAGGAAGAAATTAGCTGGACAACTAAAAATATATAGAAAAAATTAGCCGGGCATGGTGGTGCATGCCTGTAGTCCCAGCTACTCGGGAGGCTGAAGCAGGAGGATCGCTTGAGCCCAGGAGTTTGAGGTTGCTGTGAGCTAGGATGATGCCACGGCACTCTAGCCCGGGCAACAGAGTGAGATTTTGTCTCAAAAAAAAAAAAAAAAAACAAGAAACTAAACGTGATTCGGAATCGACCCAAGTGTCCGTCAACGAATGAATAGATAAAGGAAGTGTCGTACACATACACCATGGAATATGATATAACCACAAACAGAATGAAATCCTGCCCTCTGTAACAACACGGATAGAACTGGAGAACGTTATGTTACGTGAAATAAACCAAGCAAAGAAAGACATATCTCACATGTTCTCACTCATATGTGGGAGCTAAATATTAAAAACAAATGATTTCATGAAGACAGAGCGCAGAATGATGGTTACCAGAGGCTGGGAAGGGTGGCAGGGAGGAGGGGATAAAGCAGGGATGGTTAATGGGTATAAAAACATAGTTAGATAGTTATATAGAATGAACAATGTTTGACAGCACAACAAAGTGACTATGATCAACAATAAGTTAGAGATACTTTAAAACAACTAAAAGAGGCCAGGCACAGTGGCTCACGCCTGTAATCCCAGCACTCTGGGAGGCCGAGGCAGGAGGATTGCTGGAGCTCAGGAGTTCGAGACCAGCCTGAGCAAGAGCGAGCCCCGTCTCTACTAAAAATAAAAAAAATAAAAAAATTGGTCCCAGCTACTGAGGAGGCTCAGGCAGGAGGATCGCTTGAGCCTATGACTTTGAGGTCACAGTGAGCTATGATGACTCCACTGCACTCTAGCCCTGGCAACAGAGCAAGACTCCATTTCCAAAAAAAAAAAACTAGAAGACTGGAATGGCAATGTTGCTAACACAAAGAAATGATAAATGCCTGAGGTGACGGATACCCCAATCACCCCGATTTGATTAATTCACATCGCATGCCTGTGTCAAAACATCACATGGACCCTATAAAGACATACAATTATGTACTCATAACAATTAAAAATTTAAAAATTTTTTTAAAAAATAAAGAAAATAAACAGAAATGACATAGAAGACAGCTCAACATGGAGAGGGTAGGGGAGGTGTCTCCCGAGGAGGAAACGCAACCTGGAGGATGAAAAGGAACTGGGAACGTAAAGGCAGAAAAAGACGTGGCAGGCAGGTAGAGCAGGTAAAAATGCATGTGGTCAAAGGGACAGAATGAGGGGTGCATGAGCGTGGGAGCCCACGGACCTGGGGGATAGCTCTTGACCTCTCACCAACCACCTGCGTGACCTGTGGCAAATCACAGAGCCTCTCTAGGCCTGACCCATCTCATGCATAAAATGAAAAGAGAAATAATATTTACATCACAAGTGTTGCTTTATCAAATGATAGAGTATATAAAGTGAAACACTTTAGACACACAAATAGAAACAGAAATGTATTACAAACTATTTTCATGAGCACTCCACAAATGGTGCTAGTGTTTACAGACGGAGTCCTTCTGGAAGAACGCGTTCTCTTTGTTCCTCAACACTGAAGCACCACTGCTGAGCAAATCGCCAGAGAATTTTTACAGCTGGTTGGAAACCACAGGCCAAGGGTTGCAAACCGGCGACCCGCGGGCAGACTCGGCCCAAACTGTGTTGTGCTTATGCCACGCAGTATGCATTTTCATCTACATTTAAAATTTGGGGTATTTCACATAAAAACCCAGATTCTCAGCTGCACAGGAGTTCCCTTGTTATACGGGAAGCACATCCTTCAGACCGTACAGTTCCCGCCATTCTCCCCCCATCCTGAGGCCACACAGGTCAGATGTCATTGATCCTCATTCCTGTTGTCATTTTTCTCCTTCCTTGTCCACCTCTCTCACTCACGCTAGAGTCTACAAACTCTGACGAGCTCTTTCCCGTTGTGAGAAAAAAACCCAGGCCCAGAACAGTCAGGCCATCCGCTCAAAGCCACGATTAACACCTGAGCAGAGCCTGAACCCTCGCTGCCGGCAGGTGCGCGAGCCACGGCAGCATGACGCCCCGCCTTCGTGAGCAGCGACACCCGTGTCCATCTGGCAGCAGAGCGACGGCGGCAGATCTCAGGAGAAAGCCCGAGTCCCCTTCCATGGCTCCTACAGCCTCTGGAGTCGAGAAGACCTAAGGCTCCTTTCCAGAGCTCAGAGCCGTGCGAGAACTCTGCCAGCACGGGGGTTGACGATCACACCGTGTGGCATCTGTTCAAGGGAACAACACTACTCTGATGACACCGAGTCCCCACGAAGAGGATGAGACCCTCTCTCTCTGGACTGCACACTCCGTTCACACACACAGCGATGACCTTTCCAAGTCAGGCTAGAAATCCCACCTTCTCGTTTCCCTGTGGCTGGCTGAGCGATGACAGCGGTCACCATCTCCTCGGGCCCCGTCCATTACTGGCAACGTACCGCGCTCCTTGCTGCCTTACCTCTAATCTTCGAGCGATCTTATCAAGTAGACGGGATTGTCTCCATGAAACAGATGAGGTCAACTCAAGCTCATTAAAATTAAGTCATTTGGCCGGGCGCGGTGGCTCACGCCTGTAATCCTAGCACTCTGGGAGGCCGAGGCGGGAGGATTGTTGGAGCTCAGGAGTTCGAAACCAGCCTGAGCAAGAGCGAGACCCCGCCTCTACTAAAATTAGAAAGAAATTAATCAGCCAACTAAAAATATAGAGAAAAAATTAGCCGGGCATGGTGGCGCATGCCTGTAGTCCCAGCTACTCGGGAGGCTGGGACAGGAGGATCACTTGAGCCCAGGAGTTCGAGGTTGCTGTGAGCTAGGCTGATGCCACGGCACTCACTCTAGCCAGGGCAACACAGTGAGACTCTGTCTCAAAAAAAAAAAAAAAATTAAGTCATTTGCCCCTAGGACTGCCTGATTCTAAATCTCTAAATATCACTACCTACCTAAGCCATCCTTTCTAATTTTCTACGAGTTTGCTATCATGTGACCAAATGTTTCAGGGAAGTTGGTTTTTGGCTGGGGTATTTAGTGATACAATTACCACGGAACAGCAGAAATTTTTCCCCAAATGACCTAAATGAGTTCCTAAAATCCAGCAAATGAGGAGGGAAGTAACTTTCTGGAGTTCCTTGTGGACTTCAAAGGACTCATAGGAGCTTGGCTTTTGTGTTTCCTCTAAGAATCTCGTCAGCCCACCCCGAGGACCACCGGTTGCCACTGTCTATGTTCCTGTACCATGTGCTGCTTCTGACCAACTAGCAGAGCCTGCCCAAAGCTGTTTCTCCCTCCCAAGACGGTACATCAGCCTGTGGAGGCCAAACCCAACCACCAGTAAGCTACACAGCTTGAAAACAAGGTCGCTCTTTTGGTCTGTCCCTATGCCAGAGGCCATGGTTAAAGGTGTGCCCTCTCCTATGGAGTGTTCTTTGACGAGGGAGACCCCCGTGGGTCTCACCTGTGATGTGACATGAAACTGTCAAGCTTGCCTTTCTCCCCCGCCAAGGCGTGGCGAGCCTGCCGTGAGAATCGCCCAACTTAGGGGAGAGCTGTGCTTCAGTTTTACTGGTCAGCATTCAACCTTTTTAAGAAACGCAGTGAGTGGAATGATGTCCCCCCAAAACTGTCCACCCATCTATCACCTCAGAACGGGACCTTATTTGGCAATAGCGTCTTTGCAGATGTAATTAGTGAAATTAAGATGAGGTCATGCTGGTTTCGGGTGGGTCCTAAGTCCAATGACCGATGTCCTTATAAGAGGACAGGACACACAGCCACGCAGAACAGAAGGCCCTAGGATGACAGGCAGAGACGGAGCAAGGCAGCTACCAGCCAAGGAACAGCAAGGAACGGCAAGGAACGCCAGGAGCCTCCCGAGGCCAGGGAGGCAGGGAAGGACTCTGCCCTGGGGCCCTGCTGACACTGTGATTTTCCACTTCTGGTCTCCAGAACCAGGAGAGAACAAATTTCCATTGTTTTAAGCCTCCCAGTTTGTTACAACAGGCCTAGGAAACTAATACATGAATACTCATATTCTGAGAGAACCCAATTCTTTACATACTATATGTCTAATATTTGCTTCAAAAATAAGGACTCAGGCCAGGCACAGTGGCTCACGCCTGTAATCCCAGCACCCTGGGAGGCTGAGGCAGGAGGATCGCTTGAGCTCAGGAGTTCGAGACCAGCCTGAGCAAGAGTGACACCCCATCACTACAAAAAATAGAAAAATTAGCCGGGCATGGTGGCGCATGCCTATAGTCCCAGCTACTCAGGAGGCTGAGGCAGGAGGATCGCTTGAGCCCAGGAGTTCGAGGCTGCAATGAGCTATGATGACATCACAGCACTCTAGCCAGGGCAACAGAGACTCTGTCTCAAAAAAAGAATCAAGTATTAGACACTGAAAGAAACGTCAAATTGTACAGGATGCTAAAGGGTGAGGACCCCCAACGTGAATGAAGAAAACCTTTACTAAAACCAGCACCCAAGCACGCAGGTTGGCACGAGTGAGCGCGCTAGCAACAATCTCGCTTCCTCCTGCCTGCCGGTACGCTTTCTTTTCACGGGTTTCTCAAGGTTTATCAGAATAATAAGCTAACAAGCAAAACTGCTGAGATGACTCCATTGTACTCGGTGTGGGTGAAGCAACATAAATAGCTGGATAGGTGAGCAGATTTCTTCTACTCTTTTATTCACAGGAACTCTGAGGTATCTGGGAGAATGAGTTACCCCAGTGCAGAGCTGTTATTACTAGAAGTCCCTCAAATGTGAGCGTTTCTGGCTGTGTAGCACAGAAACTCAAACTTTTCGGCCTACGAACCATGGCCCATAAGGCAAGAGTCTGGCTGTCTTACTGATGAAAGGTCGTCTTTATTCTAAAACATACAGTTTTCCTTCTCCTTCCTTCTTATCCTTTCCCCTTTCTTCTTCTGTATTTCTGTAGGTCTAGGCTAAGGAAGAAGAAAGGAATCCTTCATCAGCCGAGTCAAGGAGAACGAGAGTCCTCCTAGAACAGCTCCAAGCCAGGCTGGTGGACGGCTCGGACTGACCCCGCAAGCAGCCTCCGAAAGCAAGAAAAGTATCCAGGAAACACTTCTGACTCCCCCCTCAGAAGCTTTTCCCCTGCAGTCAGCAATCCATTTTCCAATCCTCCCACACTCTTAATCACATCCCAGAATCACCCAAGCCGTGACTGCCCAGGAAGCATGAAGGGGACGCTCCAGAAGCTTCCCCTTGAACTTGGTTCAAACTCAAACTCCGGGTTCACCTTGTGGTCGGTCAGCCCAGGATTGGGAAGAGGCAGAGGAGAACTGGGTGTGCGCCAGGCCCCTGGGAAGGTCCCCACTGCCGTCGGAGCTTTTCCCCAACCCCAAACACATGCTGGGAAGGGGCGCGTTTGCTACCCACAGAAAGGAGAAGAAACTGTACGTACGGTGATCTTGCTGGCTTGGTTCAGGGCTTCGACCCAGTCCTTCAGATCTTTCTGGTCGTTGGCTTGAAGAAAATATCTCTGAGACAGGGCATTGATAACTGCAAAAGTCACGGAGAAGAAGGGGGAGATGCTCAGGTCAGAATACAAGCAACCCAACACGGGTCCACAGAGGTAGCAAGACAGACGGACCCACGATGCAGATCAAGAAATTTCCCACCATGCTGAGTCATCTAGGAAGCAGGTCACACCTGCCCGCTCGCTCTCCCTCCTACCTGTAGAAATGACATTATCCCATTGGCCACAAGAACAACACCTGACACCAGCAGCAGCCTTACTGCGCTGTTCTGTGGCGAGTGCGAACAGAGTCACAGGCGTGCTGGTACACAGGGCTCTGTCCCACAGACACGGCTGGCCTGGCTCGGGAGCCTCGTCTGTGGTTGGGAAATGGAACGAAGCTTGCCTGAGATCGAACCTGTGACCTCGGCCTCGCTGTCAACCTGTTCTTTCCTCTGAGCATCCCACTGGGTCAACAATGTACTTCTAGGTTTATTATTATAACATTTTTTTAGATATGATGACCACAACATGTGAGAGTCATTTTTCAGCTTAGCCATGATGTTTGAAAGAAATGGAAGAAGGACAGCACCAAAGAAGTTTGAACCAATCAGAAGTGGGGAGAGAGAGCAGTTCAAGGGACCATTTTATTCTTGCGTCAGCCGCAACTGTAGGAGGTGAGCTTCGTGGGGTAGACACAGAATTCGTCAGTTCTTTCATTCATTCAACAAACATTTATTGAGCACCCACTATGCACCAGGAACCAGTAAAGTGCTCAGGACACCACATCACAAGGCAGAGGAATATCCCTGCCTTCGTGAAGGTTCCATTCAGAACCACGCTAGACACGCAACAGAAACTACTTGTGAGCATTTGCTGTTAGAACTTAGGGCAGTTCTGAGAACACAGTGGGAGCCAAATAACTACTCAATGACCCATTCATTGAAATCACGACGATTCCCTGATGTGGGGCACCCACCGAGCGGCTCTGCTTCCTACACCATCCCTCAGAATGGTCGCTCTTTGGGCAACACTGAGACACTCAACAGAATGTTCCTTCCTTTCTATTCTCCCCTTCCTGACACGACCTCCTCCGAGTCTCCACCTTCTGGGCACGCCAATTACTCAGCTCTAAGATGAGGGCTCCCAGAAACTTCTAGGAGACATTTTGCAACCACCCTGTAGCATCAAGAAAACTGAAATGTATATGCATAATTGTTATTTACCAATTAAAAAAATAAAATTAAAATCAGAAAAAAGATAAATATTTGAGATGACAGATAAGCTAATGACAGTATACATTACGTACCCCGTGAAAATGTACAATTATTGTCATTTAAAGAAACATAAAATTAAAACCAAAAGAAAAAGGAAACTGAAACGTTACCGGGCCCTATACTTCTGTCCTAATGTTATTAACAATATTGGCAGCGAGACCGAGGAAAGTGGTATCACCTGACACCCAGGAACATCCCTGTGATTGAAGTCACTCATACGCACAGGATACAGTCACATGTGATCACAGGACTGTCTCCACGCAAAAGAGGAAGTTGTACGAGCGTTAAGAAAACCCGTTCCCTGGCTCAGTACTTACCAAAGCAAAATGGAGTTTTTGGTTTCTGCTTTGGGGTAGCTATGCTCACCTAAATCAAATAAAAAATAAGAGAAACATGAGTATGTTTCTAACAGTGCTGAAAATTTCTTACTGTGAAAGTTTTCATACGTAAAAAGAGTATATCAAACTTATGTGTACATTTAACAATAATAATAATAAAGTGCAAACCCTGAACCCATCGTCCAGATTAAGAAACAGCCATTATCAGTCCTGCTTCTTAGAAGCCCTCTCTATGCCCCTCCCCTGGAGTCCCCACTGCTCAGAGATAACCACTATCTTGATGTCTGTGTTAACCTCTGTCTCTGCAAGAAACACTTTTAAAAGCCATCGAGTCCTGTTAGTTCTCTGAGGTATCTCCATATTGCTTTCCACAGAGGTTGCACTAGTTTGCAGTCCCGCCAGCAGTGCATGAGTGTTCCTGTCTCTCTGCATCCACGCCAACATTCGTTGTTTTGGGACTTTTTGATAAAAGCGGTATCTTGCTGTGGTTTTGATTTGCATTTCTCTGATGACCCCAAGAAATTCTTTTTTTCCGAGTGTGGCAGTCAATGTTAACGCTTTCCTGATGATTAATGACGCTGAGCATTTTTCATTTGAAAAAGCACTTTTCTTTTGAAAAGTTTCTGTTCATGTCTTTTGCCCACTTTTTAATGGGGTCGATTTTTGCCAACTGATTTGCTTGAGTTCTTGACGCTGTCCTGGCCTAATTCACACCCTCGGGGTTCCACTCCTCTCTCTTCTTTCAACCACCGACCCTCCGTAAGCAGTTCTCCCAGCGGAAGGTGGTACTGCTACAAACACATCGATTCCAGTCCCAGCACACAGAAAGGGACGGCGGCACACCACTCGCCGCGTTTAGACACACACCGACTGCCTTTACATCTACCCTGACCACTTAACCATGAAAATGGGCACTCTCCACATGCCCAGAGCGGGGCTGGTGGACCCAGAGAGCGCACCTGTGTATTTAAGGGAAGGGCAGGAGGAAGTGGAAGTATTTTTATACCTCCTGTTGCTGTATTTCAACTGGCTTTTGCAACGCTACCCCTTGCACGTACATTCCTGAGCGTGTGCGTATGTGAGCCCACCCCACTCAGGTTCCAACACACCGAAAGAATAGAGACAGCCCCTCATATTCCGTCACATGCCCACAAACACCGGTGACTATCCCTGATGTCGCTGACCCTCCCCAGAGCAGGCCTCCACCCCTGTACCTGGGGTCTCTAAGGAGGCAGCCACCTTCCCATGGGACCTAGGCTGGGGACTCTTCACACACTGTCACGATCGTCTCCTGGACATACCATTCCCTCCCTCCCCTTTCTAGCCAAGGGCGTTCATTCTTCTACTTGTCCTCGCTCGGGGCCGCCGTGCTCGCTGCTTTCACGGGAGGCGCGTTAGAAGCCAGGAGCTGAAGCAAATCTGGAGGCAACATTAAAGTCACTTCATGGCTCACAGCTGCTAGGGTCTAACAGGGACTGACCCACCCGTCAGTCTGTCCAGGTCCTTGCTCTTGGCTGTAGGTTCTTCTTATACAACTGCCCAGATTCCTTAACCAAAATTAACATCACCCCAAATACTCAAATGGGAACTGAGGCAGCACCTCATAAAAGATCAAAAGAAGGATGCAGTACACCCCGGGCTTTGGAGACAGAGAGTCTCAAATGACAGGTGTCCCAGCTATGTGACCTCCATTATTTCCTGTTCTATCAAATAAGGGATAATAATGTCACTTGGAACTATGGGCAAAATGCTGAGGACCCGTGAGCTTCTCGGGGCCTGCAAAAACATATGAGACCCAGAAAAACTGCTTGGCCTCCGACATACAAAACAAAGATGGCATATCCAATGTTAATAAATATTTAATTCAATGTCTGCGTAACGGCACGATAGCAACCTCACTGACAAGTATTTAAATGTGTACGAGCCACCACATTAAGTCAACTTCATTAATTTTTCAATGAAGCATTCAAAAAAACTTCATTACATTTGAAAATTATTAGTAGCTTAGATTTTTAGTTCACAAGAATCTCTGTGTGTCTGCAGGAGGACTACCCAGAAATAAGAACCAAAAATAAAGTAGATGAGTTACTCATCACTAAGTCCTTCCAAAAGTAAAATGATTAAAATCCTTTCAAATATTTTCTAGCCAAACAATTATGTTTAATGAGGGATATGGCTGCATTTTGGTATGTTTACCATGAAGTGAGGCGGCGGTCACAGGACCTAAAAAAGTCCTAAAAAAAATGAGGATTTAAGCAAAGGGAAACCCACGCATCCTGAGTGCAGACTCCCCACATTCGGTCATGTCTAGACTCACAGGCCACAGGACACTGGCGGTCTGTAGCATCACGGTCCGGGCCCCCTTGCTCTTGTGTTTTCCTGGGTTTCTGACCCCCGAATGCAGCCTGAACCACAGTGTGTGCCTTTCTGTCCTGCTTGCAGCTGATGTGGTCTGTCAGTGACTCATTTTCTTGTTCTGTCCCTCGGCATCCACGTTCCCACGGGTCCTCTTGTCCATAAACTCCTGCTTGTCCTGTCCTGGTCGCCGTGGAGCAGCCGTGGCCGTCCAGGCCCTTAGAACCCACCTACCTCCCGGCTCCCCTTCTGTGTTCACCTTTACGTGACGCTGAGCAGCTGGGCACTCCAAGACCCTCTCTGGCTTAATATTAGAATATTTACTCTATTATTAATAGAATTGCCCTGTCTCTGAAAAACTCACGGTCATCACTGACTAGAGAGGGCAGCCCTGGCTGATGGCTTTCGCTGTTTGGATTCCAAATGCTCTGCCCTGACCGCCACTTCCTAGCCGGCCTGCCCCGTGAGCATGCTCCCCCGCACTCGGTGGGAGGTGGCGCCTTCAAAGACATCATCTGGCTTTGCGTTTGCGTTGACGCGCTTCTCCAGTTCTCAGTCGGGAGGTCCGGGTGAGGGCACCGCGTCCATCTAAACCTGCCTCATGCCCCGTGGCTTGCCACGGAAGGCTGACGTGGCAACGCAACTCGTTGCTGAATCAACAGGATCGGTTCCAGTTCTGCCCTGATGCGCTGCGTGGCAAAGGTAAGACCCTCCGTGTCTCCGGTCAGCCTCCCAATCAGCAAAGCCAGAGTAAAAAGACTAGTCCCCCGTCTTATAGTCACAGAATGCAGAAAGAGGGACATGAATCATACCTACCTGCTGCTGTGCCCTACAGAGAGAAGGGTGAGGGGGGAAGCCAACTTATCACGGAAATGTGGCTTTGGCCTCTCCCTGACATCCGGTCACTGTGGAGGAGGAACTCCCGCCTGCTGGGAGGAATAATCCCACTCCACCCCGCCCACTGTGTTGGCGATGGCGCCCCTTTCGGACGTGGTGACAGAACAGAGAAGATCTGCAGGGAGACGTGTGGCTGCAGATGGCTGAGGACACCTGACAGCCACCTGCACCCCCGAGGTGGCCACAGCTGAGTGGCTGCACCACAGTGGTTGACCAGCGGGTCCCATGAACACCCCAGCAGTTAATGGAGGTTGGCGGTGTGAGGAGGCAGTGGGCACTGTCCCCGCAGGGTGACGCAGACAGGACTGCTCCACAGCACAGCAGACTCTCAGGAACTTGCTCTTATCAGATCAGACACAGACCACAGGAGCAGCAAGCTCGTCAGGGCTGGGCATGGCTGGGGCCAGCCCCACCCTGTCTGCCCTTGGCCGGAAGGGGAGCGGGGGCCCCTCTGGCAGAAGGAGCAGCAGCAAAACAAGGTCTCATAGCCCCAGTGCAGCTCTGCCCCAGTGTCTGGCTGACCTGCCCCACGAAGCGGCATCAGGAGTGGGGAGAACAGCAGCCACCAACACAGGATGAGTGAAAGGGTTCTAAAGAGGAGTCTTTGGACCAGCGTCAGGGGGTCACTGGGCCCCCTGAAATTATAGGCAAGGTCAGGTGTGCACACACATCTATACATTTACCTGGAAAATGAGTCCACGCTTTTCATCAGACACTCAGAAGGATCCATGTCCCCCACACGAAAAAAGTTAAGAATTACTGTTCTAGGAAATTCCTCCCCATAGGTAGTGGAGGGCAAGGCGCTGACAAAATGGGACACAGCTGGGGTGCGACAGTGGGGTTGGCTGTGCAGAGATGGCTGGACCGGAAGAGAAGGGTCATCAGGGAGAAGGGGGGGGTGGCTGGGGCCAAAGGGCCCCTTCGGTTATTTTCTAGTTTGCCCAAGAACTGGTTCTGCTGCCGTGGACGCCCTGGATGACTTCAGATCAAGCACATTCACCTCTGCCTCTCCGAGGGACCACACGCTGGTCCCCATCTTCCCCACGCCAGCTCTCAGGAGAGGGCGGGGGAGGCACACCCTGAGCAGGGACCACGGCACGCGCAGGCCGGCCGGGCCGCCTGACACCGCAGGCAGGTGCCTCCCTCCGGGAGGGAGGACCGAAAGGTTAACGAGAAATAACGTGGAATGCTGGACTGGCTACCAGCACCCTGGAGAAACATCCTTCTGGGAAAAGCCCTGCTTTCTGGCTGGCGTTGAGTCAGGCAGGAGTTAAAGGCTCTCAGCTCTTGTAACCTGACCCAGTGGCAGCTGTGGGTTTTGCACACACACAAAAAACACCCATCCAGGCCTGCCTCTCTCAGCAAGGGGCTAAAAGGCAGGTCATCTTTTCTATACGAGGCAGCCTCCAAAGCTGAGGATTCTAAAAACCCTCATCTGAGCTGCATTTGTAAGGCATGATTCAGCAGGAGATTGTATTCAGTGTTCCCCCACCAAAAAAAAAAAAAAGTCCTCCCAAATCCTCTCAAACGGGAGAGGGTTTCAATTTCCATTTATTATCACGAGGTTCTCCGCTCCCCCACTCTCTCAATGCTCTTTCTTCAAACCTCCTGGAGAAATGACCTAATAAGCTCTCAGCCAGACGGGGATGGGAGAGGGAAGGAAGGCAGGTCCCAGGCCCCTGGCTGGTCTGGGCTGGGGAGGCGGCCACAGGGCTCACCGCAGGCATGCACAAACTGCCCGCAGCTGTGCTAGCAAAGCTGCACTTTGAAAGGCCCTTCCCCCTTCCCTGAGGTCATTATCTGCCCTATCTAATCCGCCCTGATGCTGCCCTGCCTGGCATCTGCCTTTGTGTGGGGCTGTGTCTGCCCGGCCTTGCCTGCAGCTCCCACTAAAGGTGGGCTCTCCTCCTGAGGCCCCAGGGCCCCCTCCAGGCTCATCTCCTGGCCTCAGAGGTGGAGGGCTCCCAAAGCTTGTTTGTTACAAGAGGGAGACAGCACCCACTCAGCTCAAGCCCCCGGAGCGCGGGAGAGGGTGGGCAAGCACCAGAGCCCCCAAGAGGCCCAAAGCCAGGGTGTGTGGGGAGAGCAGCACTTCCGAAAGCTCAGCGCTGGCTCCCTGCCACCTGGCTCTGCTCCCTGTACAGAGAGTTCCTCCTTCTGGGGCGGCTCTAAACCCCCAGCCTTTGCACCACTGCTGCATCACGGGTCAGCAGGGTGCCTGCACCAGGGAGGGGCTGCTTAAAGACGCTGATTCAGCAGTTACAGGTGGGCACCGTTCAGTTGCTCCAACCCCGGCTCTCAGCACACGAGAGGGAGAGGGGCTGCTCTTTCCGCTCCGTGCAAACTGGACTAGGGGTGGCTTGGTGGCTACCTGCCAGGCTCGCCAGCTGTTATCTGGCAGCTGAATGTCTTCCTGGCACGTCTGAGCAGCTTCTCCGGGCACTCTTAGCCTTGCCTCTGTAGCCATCTGCCAGGTGATTTATAAAAATTCCAGTGAAGCCCCGACACTTTCCGAGCTGTCTCTGTTTAGCTGTGTCCTTTGAGAGAATCTTACTGGATTTGGGGTTGCTTTTGTATTCCTTTTGGCCCCAGTTACGAAAAAGGTCACGTCCTACCCCTACCTCCAGCTCAGCCACCACATCCACCTCCTCCAGAGAAGCTGGGAGCACTACCGACGGACTGTCCAGGGAGTGCGAGGCCGCGGGCCCACCCTGCACGAGCTTGCACAACCACCCCCAAAGCCACCCAGGCGGCCCAAAGCTTCCACAGGCCACGTGTGGGGGAAAAGGGAGCATTTTAATGCCCATGCACCGTCCCCAAATAGTAATGCCCAAAGGCTGTGACACTCCCTCTTGTTTAGATACCGAACCTACTTAGAGAACGTGAATTCCCAGAGTTCCAGGCCAACATTACCTTCGAGATGTAGGTCAGCTGCAGAGATCCGACTGCTCCTGCCCCAATTGCCAGGTTCTGAAAGACATACGTATTTCACTTTAAGAAGGGTGCTGTGTGCAAACAGCACCAAGAGACAGAAGCCCAAGATTCCAGTTCTGTTTTTTTTTTTCTTTTTTTAGGTTAAATATTTATTTTATTATCTTATAACTGAAGTTACCATATGCTACCATCCATATTCATTCCTGGAAAATATCACAATGCATTTATAAACAAAAAACTAGAGCTGGTCATCCTTAGCATAGGTAGCAAAATTTTTGTTTATTGAAGCCCATCCATTCTTCACTGATTTATAGGTCATATTAATAATGATAACATTCTAAATTATTTTTGTTGGAAGTCATTTTGAAGTGAGGGTCTTCTCATTATAATCTTATTTAGGCCTCAAAGAGTATAAAATAAATAATTATATTATGTTCACAGATCTCTAATCTGAGTTCACACTTTTGCTGTGCTGCTCTTTAAACTCTATAATGTGATATATCACCTCTAAAAAGGTTATTCTTTCAAATAAACTCTCAGATTTGGGAAGATTTCATGTAGCTCTTATGAGAAGAAAAAAAGAAATTATGCCAGATAAATCAGCTAAATCAATGGCAATTATTAGTTGAGTGGCAGATATTGTAGTCCAAATGTCTTGCCTATTAATAAAAAGAACACATCCAAGGACAAGCTAGATTCAGAGAATCTTGAAATATTTGTATTCAAAGAGACCTCAGTTGTTATCTATTCCTAAAATCTATTGCTAGAAATGATTATTTAAATTATCTAAATTTAGACAACTCTATCAGAAATGTAGTTTCTAGAAATAGAAATGAGAAATGGGAAAGGGTTCCAAGACAGTAGAAATTGCAGTTTATGACTAGAGCATATTCATAAAATAAGATTGC